AAATATTGGAGCTAACAAGTTTTCTCTGTGAAAAATCTGAATCTCTGTCTGAAGTACAACAACGTTTTAATTGTCCTTTTATCGATCTAAAGACAGTTGGAAGAGAATATTCCTACTCTGAGACACTGCCAAAGTTCTTAGAATGTTTTCTAGAAACATTGGATAATTATACCATGTGTCTCAAGATGTCTAAGGATATGTCCACCCTATCCCTTAGCATCCTCTACGGGCACTGCATAATCATGAGCAAACTCATCAGCTGAAAAATAATCTTCTCAAAGATTCAAGAGAAATGAAAATCTCTCATTTATCTTTGATCTCTGAAACCTCTTCAGCGATTCCTTCTATCCATTCTTCTTCTTCTTCTTCTTCTCTTACTATCACTGAGTTAGATCCCTCTAACTCTGAAGACTTAAGAGATGTTGATTTATTAGATTTTGATGAGTCTTTGGCCCTCTTTACAAACTCTTTCAGAAGGTTTGCCAAAAAAAAGTAATTTCTACATATCTTCTTCTCTGACTATCGTTGACCTCTCAACAGGTCTCAACTATTGAACTTTGCCTTAACCCCGTGGCATCTATCCTTACCCTTTATCCATATTAAGCTATATCTTTTATGGATTTCGTATGTGTGGCACCAACCCCGACCACTTCAGTGACTCAAATTGCTAAATGTGTGATTCCCAACATTGCCACTGCTGATTCTTCACTTCTTTTCTCAACCGTTATCTCCTACCCACCTTCTTTGGTCTCTATCAAATGAGCTTATGAACCAATGGTGGTTGTCCCCACCATTGGTGAAGTTATCACCATAGGACCTGACGATGCTCTTCTCGACTCCCCTCAACAACATGCGGCTGATGCTCTCGACAGAGTATTCGAGACACTCATCCTCAGTGACAATCACTCAGATACTGCTAAGAAACCCTCATGTATACACCATACCCCTTCCCCTTCTTTCTTTGTTACTAAGCCTGAGCTCTCTAATGCTCAATGTTCTTTTCTCTCTGCAGATCCTATGGAGACTGAACTCCGAGTCTGAAACTAACGCCTATGATATGGCTGGGGATGTCAAGCTGCTTTTCCCTGCTGTTGCAACCATCCTTGACAAGATGGATGAAGTTCAATAGGGAATGCCCTTGAAGGAGGACTTGACTCACGACCTCTCTGTTGTCCAATTGGAGATATGTGAAGTCAAAAGCGAGCTGAACTCCATCAAGATGGAATCCAGAACAACTCCGAAGCCATCGCTTCTCTCTCCAGCAACACTGAGGATGTTCAGTCTCATCTTACCAAGCATGGTGAGCTCCTTGAACGATTTTCCAGCTTCTACAAAAGTCGACGCCTATCCTTGAACCTTCATTCATTGTTGCTGATAGTCATCGGCTAGATATGGTTGTTGAGATCAACCTTTAACAAGCAGAAGCTCTTGTCTCCGTAGAGCAGTCGGTGCACGACCTGACTTCTCGCCTCCCTCTCTCCGTTGATGATGACAAAGAGGGGGAGAAAACTGTTGAAAAGAATGTTGATTTTGTGGTCATTGCTGACCGTGAAGACCTCCCTCCTTCCACCTCTGTAATTCCAAATGTTGGTGAAGAAGAAGAGCATGAATACGAAGATGAGGATTCGAAGATCCCTGACACAGGTGTTGACCTTGGTGATGATGACGATGATGATGATTTCTCTGTCCAAGTTATGCTATAACAGTCTGCTAAAGGAGTCTCCTTCAAGGAACCTGCTTTGTAGGGGGAGAGATCCTTCCACCAACACTCTTACTCTAGCAAAGCGAAAGGAGTTGCTGAAGACAACCTAGCTCTACTATTTTGGGCCCTCAGCTACCTCAGGACGCAAATACATTAACCATGTTTGGTCCACCTCGGAAGCTAAACCTTATTTTTATCTAACTTTTACCTATGAACCCATATCTGTCTCTACAACACCTACCCTCAACCTCTCAACCCATCTTCCCTCCTTTGAAACTTTTGAGGATGACGAAGGTGAAGATGAATCCTACAACCTCATACCTTGGAAGTTGTCAAAACAACTTGTGTTCTCCGAGGTTGAAGAAGATTTGAGGATGGCTCAACTTCTAAGACAACTTAACTAATCTAGAGTAAAAATTCCTCTTCGTACCTCTAGATGTTGTAAGTTTGACTTCCTCTGAAGCTGAACGCAAGGAATGTCTGAAAGCTGAACAAGAGCTGAAAGCAATAACAACAGAAACTATAAGACAGTCTGCAATTAGCCAAGACTCTAGCTGAACAAGCTCATGCAATAGGGATGTTCAAGCATAATGATCCCCTAAGTGTTCAAGCCTTACTCTAGGAAAAACTTGAACAGAAAAGACAAAGGGTGTTGAAGCTAAAGGACAAAGAAAGATCGAAACAAGAATGAGCCCTCATAGTATTTCAAACGTCACAATCAGCGGACGAATGAAAGATGGTAGCCTTCTAGTTTCTATGGTCATCTTCTAAGAGAACACCGATGATGTCACTCAGTATCTCTCCTTCCTCAGTCAGTATGGTATGAATGGTTTGAGATTCTATTCAAAAGTCCAAATCTAAGCATAAGGCTTACATTGAAGAAGTTCTTAATGAACTATTCAACAAAGTGTCGAAGATCATCGAGGTTTCTCCTCTTCCACAGAAGTCCTCTCGAAGAAGAAACATTTTTTTTCATGGAGAAGGTTTGTCCCACAAAAATAAGCATAAAACAAACTTTTCAGTGGATGAGCTCTTCAAGAACAGGAAGAAGCCAGATATCTCAATATTGAATCTATCATTACCTGAAAAGGGACCTTTTATTCCCAATACAATGCATGTGAAACCTGAATATGGACTTATGTTTATTGACTATGATGGTCAATACATGTTTTAGTGAGTGTCTGAGCCCCATCTCTGCCCAATAGATCATTTAGAGTATCTTCGAACTTAGCTAAACGAAGATCTCTTCAGAGAGATGATGGACCGCAGAATTCGAAATGAAAATGCTCAGAAGTAATATTCGAGGAGAAGATGTCCCTGACTACATCAACTTCAACAATCTAGATTATAAAATCTTTCAAGCTTGTAAACCTTGTACATCTTTTATCTTTTCTTTCAGTGTATAACTTTAATGTATTAATCCTACCAAAATAATTGTAATCATTTGTAATATTTTGTCTTGAATGATATTTCAATATGATGATTGGTTCACTAAAAAAGATCACCGAAAAGAGTAAATGGGACATATACTTATGAGTTCTATTTATTCTTTACATTCTCCGACACCTTTCTTGTCAGTAAATATGCTCTAAATGTTAAGTTATTCATATTATGTAAATTTATTATTTCCTTGTAATGCTTTACAAATAAGTGAATTCTCATAATAAACTCTATCACTGAAAAAGATCCCAAAACAGTAAAAAGGGACATGTATTTTACTAGTACATTTTTCCATACTGTTACAATAAGCAATTTTCTTTATGTTGCTTTGTCATCATCAAATAGGAGAGATTGTCATCATCAATTTTCTTTATGTTGCTTTTATCTAATGAAAAGTACTTCGTTCTCTTTTATTCAGTTTCAGCGATCATCACTTTATCTGTTCAGTGATTGCTGTACAAATACTGTAAAATTTCAAGAGACAAGTATTCTTCAAGAAGAAAAAACTCACACGACAAGAACCTTTAGTGATATTGAAGATAAATATGAAGATAGAGATAAGCAGTTCGTGATCTGATGTGGTTTCAGTGATAACAAACCTGTCTACAAAACATATGTGAAGTCTACTCAAGATTCATCATACATTAAAGAAACTTTAGAGTTATTCCAGTGTCAGTGATCAAATGAATCTTGCTGATCAAGATTAGTTTTTGTCTTATCCTCTTATACACAAAGAACAAACCTATAGTCACCCTTGTGATCCCAGAATTCTAGTCTAATCATTCAATTAATCAAAGATCAAGAATAAGATAGTGAATTTAATCAGTCAGCTTGCTTGTATTTCATAAACTTTGAATACAGTGTTCTTGATTACAATGATCTTACAATCTCAATGTGTACGTATGAATGATTGTCAAAAGTCTAACAGCCAGACCTAACCAACTAAACTACCATTGTTATTTATAACAGCTCCTAAATAGGAAAGATAACTACCAACTTTCTATAAAAGAAAAATAACAACTGAACAATTACACAACATATAAAACAATTTCAGCACCGGGACTTGAATACAACGTTTTTGTTCCAACAATCTCCCCCTTTGGATTCAAGTCCAAAACAACAACATCTTCAGATCTTTTAGCAATGATTTTTATATTTGATTTAGATAAGCTTAGAAAACAAAGTTAAGTACTAACGAGTGTATTATCACCAAAAATGAATTTTCATTATTAGAGATGTGATAATAACAATTTGAAGAATAGCTGAATCAGATATTGGAAATCTGATTGAAGAGAAAATTCACAAGTATAGTCTGAAAGAAATACATGTTCAGAAATGGTACTCGTTCCCAAAAAGAATTCAAAATCTTTTAAACATCATACTTCTTAGAAATGAAAAACGTTTAAGTTCAAAGAAGTGGTTTAAACATTTAAGAAAACATTTTATATGCAAAGAAGTTGTTCTTCATCAATGCATATTCAGAGAAAGGTAAGAAAGATACACCTGATATGAATAACATATTATAATGAAATGATAATGAGTTCCCCCTTGATGATATAGCTCAAAACTCAAACAAGTGATTAGAATTTCGCATTTAAGAGCATAAAGATCAAGTTCAAATAAAATTTTAAACTCAAACTCCCCCTAGAAAGATGGATTAGATTTTTATACAGACAGATTAAGCATTTCAAGCATGCTTACTAAAAACGAAAACCTTTTCTCCTCGAGAGGTTTTGTGAAAATGTCAAGATAGAAATCTGTCTGCATAAAATGCATCTCAATTGACCCTTTTTCTACATTATCTTTAATGAAATGATACCTGATATCGATGGGTTTGGTCTTAGAGTATTGAATTGGATTAGTAGTTATAGCAATTGCGCTCTTTAAATCGCAGTTGATAGGGACTTTTGTTGAACATGTACCCGTAGTCTAGAAGTTGTGTCTTCATCCGCAAAACTTCTGAACAACAACTAGCTGTTGCAACATAGTCTGCCTTAACATTAGAAGTTGAAACACAGTTTTGCTTCTTCGAAGTCCAACTTACGAGCTTGTCGCCTAAGAACTTATAGGATCCAAAAGTGCTCTTTCTATCCAGTTTACAACCTGCATGGTCAGAATCAGTAAACGCAATTAGCTCAAAACTAGATTCTTTTGGATACCAAAGGCCTAAATTTTGTGTGCCTTTGAGGTATCTAAGAATTCTTTTAACCGCTGCAAGGTGTGACTCTTTAGGATTAGCCTGATATCTCGTACAAGAACATGTTGCAAACATTATATCTGGTCTACTAGAAGTTAAGTATAATAAAGATCCAATCATGGCATGGTAATTTTGTTGATCAACAGATTTTCCGTATAAATCTGCATCTAATAAAGTATAAGTAGCCATGGGAGTCTTTATGGAAACATTCAAACATATTAAATACTTTCAAAATATCTTTTACATATTTGGACTGATTAATGAATGTCATTGGGGAGTTGTTTTACTTGAAGACCAAGAAAGAAATTTAACTCTCCCATCATACTCATTTGWAATTTAGATTTCATGATGTCTGAGAAGTTCTTTCAAAAATAATGTCATCAACATATATGTGTATCAAAATCATATGCTTACCTTTCTTTTTAAGGAATAACATAGTATCTATCGTATCTTTCTTGAAACCAGATTTCAGTAGGAATTGAGTTAGAGTATCATATCATGCCTAGGATCTTGTTTCAAACTGTATAGTGCTTTGTCTAGGACATAGACATGATCAGGCTTTTATGGATCAACAAAACCTTCAGGCTGACTCACGTAAACTTCTTTGTGAAGAATACTGTTCAGGAATTCGGATTTGGCATCCATTTTGTAGACTTTGAAATTCTTGTAAGCATCATACGCCAATAATATTCTGATGGCTTCAATGCGTGCGACTGCAGCAAAGGTCTCATCATAATCGATGCCTTCTTGTTGAATGTAACCTTTAGCAACCAATCAGGCTTTGTTTCTTATTCCCATCTTATTCTTTTTGTTTTGGAAGACCCATTTTGTACCTTTACATGTAGATAAGCACGTTTGGAGACAACAGAGTGACTTCATACATGTGCTTTACTTTGAGAGGTATGAGATTGTCATTTGTGTGCAAGAGGATAAGACAAAATCTAATCTTGTACAAAAATATTATTTGTTCAGTGTTCGCCAAATCTTGAACAAACTTCAAACTTGATTGTAAACATGCTTGTCATCACTAAAAACCGCATCAGAGCACAAAACTGTCTGTCTCTATCTTCTGCTTTTTCTTTGACATCGTTGGAGGTTCTTTCGGTGTGAGTTTTGTCTTCTTGAAGAATACTTGGCATTTTTGAGAAGTTTACAATACATGTTCAGCGATCACTGAACAGACTAAGTGATGATCGCTAAAACTGAATAAAACAGAACTAAGTATTTTTCGTTAGGTATAAAAGGATCATTATTAAATCACGGAGAGAGTAAGGATCAACAGATGACTAAAAATAATGTAGTTATTTCTCTTGAGACCACACGATTGTTGATGATTTTATTGTCATCAAGTGCTTTAGTGTAATTGTGATTTACACACGATCGATGGGTTTATAGGTTAGGGGTGTGCAGAAAGTCATACGATCCAATTTAAAGCGACTGATCGTAGAACTGACCGACTATAATCGGATCAAATTGGATCCAAAATTTCAACATCCAAATCGGTCGGTTCTAGGATGGCAGTCCAAAATCCAATAAACTAAACCGATCCAATCTAATGACCATCAAATTACTTATCCAATTATCATCCAACTACCATCCACTATATAAACTTACTAAGATTTAATGATAGTTTTTTTAGTTTATATTTTTACGTAGTTTTTAAATAATTTAAGAAAATATATGTTAATTGGTTGAAATAGTTGATTAATTGGTTGAAAATTAGGTCAAAATCCATTAAGATTCAATGTATAACCAATAGTAAAATATAATAGATGGAACCAGTCTGATCCAATCATCTATTGGATTGGATCGGATGTCCATTGTTAATTGGTTGAAAATTAAATAAAAATATTGGATTGATCCAATGGATAACAGATAATAAAATCCATTGGATAAAACCTATCTGATCCAATCATCCATTAGATTGAATTTGATAGGATGTCCAATGTTAATTGGTTGAAAATTATATCAAAATATTGGATTAATCCAATGGATGGAACTGATCTGATTCGATCATCCATCGGATTGGATTATATTGAATGTCCAATGTTAATTGGATTGGATCGGATGACAGAGTCGAACATCCAATAGATGATTTGATTGAATCAGGTCCACCTTAATTCATTAGATTTCAATTGATGAACACCTTTAGGTTAGGCTAAGAGGTGTAAAGTGCACACTTGTAGAAATTGTCATGGACCTGTGATCGCCCTAAAGTGGGGGGGGGTCAATGGATCATACCCCCTTGTGGGGTTCTAGGAGCAGCACCGCTGGCAGGGTTCAAAAGGGTCAGCCTCTTTGGCGATGGTCCATCTACATAAAATTCAAAACGCGTGTAGCCTTCTGAACTTCTTTTCAGAAAGGGTGTAGCTTTCTGAAATTCTTTTTGAAGACGTGTAGCCTTCTATAGTATACATCAGAATATTAGATTTGGTTTGAAAAGGCATGATTTCTTCAGAACTTTGGTGCAGTAACTATTATTGATCTTATTCGTTAGTAGTTATTTGATAACTCTTATTATCTTCAAATAACTACTTAACCACCCCCAATTAATTGGAAATTAACTACCTATCTAAGTGGTCTTCAATCTCATTTTAACATATGGAAAACACACAATCTATCTCAATTCTTCCTCCAAATATTGAGTGTGTATTTTGATTATTCCCAAATAAATTATGTGATACCTGTAGGCTAAGACATGACCGAAAATATTACTTATAGAAAATTATTCCATTCACATTTTATTTTACCATCCAAGTCCTATTCATTGATATCTATATCCATTGTGTACACATGCATGTATGTGTAACATCCAATTTTAGTATTCAACGATAAACATATACATAGGTATATATATATATATATATATATATATATATATATATGTTGGTATACGTATTATAACCATGGAATCTTAATTTAGAGATTTTGTCAACAATACATGAAATCTTAGTTTTAACAATAATATTTCCATCGCATGATTTATTCTTTTGCTATTAAAAACGATGGCGTAGTCTAGAGTCAATTAACCAATTATGAGTTTGACATTTTCTTTTATTTGGACTTGCAAACAATTCCAAAATGCTTATTTAAATGTATTCATAATTGAGTTCTTTAATTATTATATATAATAATTTATGTTTTACTATAAAATTGTTTAATAAGAACAACCTCATCTAATATTTTGTCTCGTTGCTTCATATCTCAGGCCAAATTTGAGCTTCACATGTGAATGGAGCAATATTCGTGTAGAATTTTTGAGCTAATGATTCCATCATATTTGACCAATTCTAGCACACATATGATTCTTGGATATATAGTAATCATCATTCTCTTCTTATTAAATTTATATTGATAAATTTCATATCACTAAAATTATTGAGGATTCATTTCAATTTTTAATTAGAAATATTAAATGTTTGTTTCCACATGATATTTTGTTAACATTTGTTACGATATTGGTTTTTTATATGATATTCTTGAAATTAGTCTTTTATACATAAAATACTTCTTAAAAATGTCATACAATAAGGATGATAAAATGATTTATTTTTTGTCTTATTAAATTATCGAATTTTTTTAAATAAAACTTATTAGATCGTTTAATTTTGTCCTTACAACTTATTATTGTAGTGTTTTCAGAGAACATAGCAATTTTTTTCTAAAAACTTAACAAGTGCTCTATTAATACCTTGTGCATTTTGTTGTAATGGCATGTATAAAAATGGGACTATATTGAATTAAAGTATATCCAAAACGGTTGATTGCCATAAATTATCTGATATACATTTTTAGTAAGAGTAAATTAAGTTACGATTTTCATTCATGTGCTTTCAAAACTATGGTTTGTGTTCTTATGGTTTGAAAATACATGGTTGTTTTCATCTCAGGCCAATTTGGTCATTGATTTACCGTTAACTATACGAATAGAAAACAACAATGAATTGTAAATCTTATGACTAGAACCATTATTTTGAAAACACAAAAACAGATATAGCAATCTTAAACAAACTAGAGGGACAAAAAAGCATAGTTTACTCATTTACTAGTGAAGATAATCACATTTTTTATTTATCTAGTTTTATAAAAAAATATCATATCTTTTTGCAACAACAAATCTTACAAATTTTTAGTAGCACACAATGAAATTTGAACTCATAAAAGTTAACTTTACCCACTAGTGGAATCCCTTAGGGTTTTGTTGCTTTTATATTAATTAATAATAGTGTGATGGTCAACATATTTGTATCATTCAATTATTGGGTCAATGTCAATGTTAGTTGGAATATTGAAGACCTTGCTTGTTACAATGGAAAGCAAAAATTATGAAATATATAGAAGTTTGGAGATGAAAAGCAAAAGGGAAAGGGAGGGGAGCCTTTGTGATCAATTGGTTTTTAAGAGAAATGAACCCAAAAGTTTTTGATTTCTAAGGATATGTTGATTTGAATAAGAGGATTATGGCATACTTATGAAGTAATTTTCGGAACCCAGATATGTACACGTTAATTAAGGCTTATGAAGTAATTTTCGGAACCCAGATATGTACACGTTAATTAAGGCTTAATATGAACTGTTCATACAAATATCATCTGATCGTTTATATGTAACACAAGTTAAAGAAGCGTATGAAGAGTTTTTGAGTAAACAATAACAGTTTAATAGATACAAACTCCTAATGATATGACAACGCAACCATATATAGTTATTGTCAGCGAGTTTGTAGGTGTTGCCAAAGGGTTAATGGCACCTACGTTACGAATTACAGTAGATATTAATTTTTTGAATGTCAAAAGTTTAAATTTAATTCAAAATAAGAAGTGTGTGAGTGTGTGTTTTGATATAAATAAATGTTATATGTTACATCAAAGAGAAATTAATGTAGGCATCAAATATCACTTTATAAGCCACCTGCCATTATTGACAAATAGGAAAGTTAGAAAAGCCATTTTTGGTTAAGTAGAAAATGAGGGCTTGATGATCACAAGTTGTGAGTAAAAATTCCAACCATCTTGAAAACCAAATAAAAACGAGAAACAAAAGAATAGATGCTTTACGAAAATAGTTGCATAAAATAAAAAAGAAAATTTTGAGTGTAACTCATTCATCTATTTTGTAAGATTTAGGTTATGTTTGATAAACTAACGTATAAGATAACTGATGGTTGATAAGATAGTTGGTGACTGATA